GAGGAGCGAGATTTCCATCGGCGGGGTTTTTTGTATTCTGCAATGCTTTCCTTAGTCTCCTAGTTGGAAGGTCTTGGCCTTGATATTTTTGTTGAAAATTCTTGCGACGATCTGTTGTTGCGCTGCCATCCTTATAAGTGTTGTTTCCCTCACTTCTTCAGTTTCTTCCAGGTTTCTTTCTTCCTATTTTTTTTTCTCTTAATTTAATCATCTCACTGATATATTATCATTTCCTTCATTTAATTCCTTCAATAAATTGCTGAAAAATCATCAATCTTCTCCCTCTTTCTCAATACCCATCACTTGAATCTCCTTCAACATCCAATTTTCTCGTGTTGGTGTACCCTCCTTAAACTTCACCACTCCACACCATTGTCTTCATCACATCATCCCTACTCCACTCACAAACAATTCACAACACTTATCACCCCTGTTCTCACCGCATCTCCCACCATTACCACAGCAACTCAACACACCAACAACTATGCAGCACTGTAGACACCTAAAAATGTCTCTCCAAAATCAAACCTGATGATGAACAACCTTTCACCGCCATTATTGGTCGGGTTGAGTATTAATCTTTAGAGTGCTTAAATCCATGTTCATTCCCAATACATTTCGTAAACCAATCCAATTCGTAGACCATTTCACCAAACCATAACTTATTTTCCTCTTTTCGTGCCTTTAAACCCAAAATAATTCATTTCGTGTCCATTAAAATAATTCATTTTGTGTCCTTTTTATAAAACGTTTAGACCAGTTTATTTTGGTCCATAATATGGGTCCAATGATTTAATATTTGGATGGGGCTGGAAAAGATATTTCCAACGATATATTATAAGCCCAAATCCGAGTTATAACGAATAAGTGATGGCTAAAATACTAAACTGAGTCTAAACCGAACCTAAGCCCACCTTACCTACGACCCAATGATAATGTGGAGGGTTCAAATGCTTAAATCCCACTCATAATACAATTAGGATTAATTAGAAGCTTCTATAAGTTTCTAAAATATCTTAATTATCCTTTTTGAAAAGATAAGATTAAAGCATTTGAAATTGAATAAAACTTTTCTTTTTGAAAGTCCTAATTCTATTCGAATTGAAAGACGTTCAAAGATAGTCAGATATCATTTTCGTGCCTCATATTTTTTTATCTAAATCTTATATGGTTGGATAGCTCTTGAAATTATCTTTCCAATGATATATTATAATATTAATTCCGAGCTATAACGAAAAAGATATGAGCAAAATACGAAACTCTATCCAAAACTGACACCATCCCACTATTTCGGCCATATCTTTTGTTCTACAGAATATTTTAATCTGATTTTAATTAGGTTAGAAATTAGACTTCAAGAGCTTTCCAACAATATCTTATTTATCTCATTCCAATTTCTGGATCAAAAGATATGATAAAAACAAAAACCGCAAAAATTGTTGTCTATCGAGTTTTATTTAGATTTCATTCGGATCTTATCCTAATTCTTCGACCCTTCTTTTTTCTCTATAAATAGAGGTCATATCACCCCTTTTTCAATCATCGACAAGCTTGATCATCAAATCATTCTCTCTTCCTCTCTTATACACCAAAAATCATTCTCTCTCTCTACACCAAAAATCATTATGTTCTCCTTCTTTAACCTAATTCTAGCCGCCATATTCTTTCAAAACACATCCCTTAAGCACTCCAAGGAGTCCATACTTGACCCGAGGTTCTGTCCTTAAACCAAGGGGTGAAAGGTAAAATTAACTGAGGGTTTTGACCCAATCAACTCTATTTTTTATTTAATTCAGTTTTCATTTGATTTATTTTTATTGAAGTTACTAACAATTTATTCATGATGTAGCAATTCAAGGAAACGTGGAAAGTGAGTAATTAATCTCTTAATTACTCTTATTATTTTTCTTATTGCTATTATCATGATTAGGGTTATGATTTGATTTAACTAACGATATTATGGTTAAATTGCTTCCAATATTAATGTTTATTCTATTATATTTATTGATCACCATATTGCATGTAAAGGGAATATGTAATTCAAAATCACGCTTAATAAGATAATTTGGACAACCGGTTTAGGTTCCTTTAATCTTGTTGTTAATTGAAGTTATCACAAATATTTTAGAATAATGTGTTGCATTAATATTCAACCAATTTAGCATAATAATAGTTTGGAGCGAATTGAATTTTGTTTGTATGCCTTTGAGATCGCAGGAAATACTTTTCACAATAAGAATTGAGTAGAGGCCAATACGGGCGAATGTGACTCCATGACTCACTTCGTACCATCATGCCTGATCCTCTTTTCGTGGTTCCGAACCATATGGAGTTAGTAATCTCATGGATTATGAATGGGGTGTAACCTTCACGGGTCAATCGTTGTTGCCTATCGTTGTCCCTTTATCGTGGTTGCCTTAAATGATCCGTGAACGGTTTACAATTTCCTTAAAAACTTGTTGGTGGCTCCCTACTTTCCTTGTCCCTAATCGTTGTCTCTAATCGTATATGTCAATTCCCACTTCCTATGAGTGCCAAGCATATTCACACAGGCTTAACGTAGGCGCACTTCAAACGATTCCTACAAGCACCAAACCACTCAACCTAGCCAATTTCCACCTCTGACCCCACTTCATCCGCAGCCCTCTCTCCAACTGTAATAGCAGCCCACAAAAAGGAGCTAATTGCAGCAACTAAGCGCTGGGAAGAGTGAATCGCAGCCGCTAAGCGCCGACAAGAGTGAATCACAGCCGTCGCAACTTTTAATTTCAGCCCCAATTCAATTTGAATTCAAAGCCCCAATTTCAGCCCCAATTCGATTTGATTCCATGAACCCTAATTCCCAAATCTACTTATTTACCCCAATTACAGTGAAATTTGGTAGAATTTGGTGAAGGAAAAGTGAATTGAAGTTAGGAGAGCGTGTTTATAGATAAAAATCGGGGGAAAATCAGTCAAAAAGGTCAAAATAAGCTTTAGGTGGGGCCCACAGACAGAAAATCCACCAAATGGGTGGTAATATGAGCATTTATTTTATTTAAGAGGTCTGCAATGGCTAGGGAGAGGAAAGGTTCCTTTTTTTGAGGATACTGGTAATTTAAAATAAAAAAATTAAACTGGTGCTTATTTCGAAATTGGTTATATTTTTGAGTGGTAATTTAAAAATTTTCCTATATAATACTACGTATTAATAATAAATTACGTACGTATGTATAGATATTGAGGATATATTTAGGGAAATAATCTAATCTAACCTAATATATATCTACATAAAGTAGGCATTTCGGGAGCATCCGGCGCGCCACATTAGAAAAGGTATTATTTTGACTAATGCAACTTTAGATTAATAATTTATTTTAGAATTAAAAAATTCACTCGCCACCTAAGAAAAAGTGACGAATAAGATTTAAGAATTTTGCCACCTAGGTAAAAATAACGAATAGTGAACAATTAAAATTTAAATTATTTAAAAAACTAATAATTATCTTTTATACATATATGGATGTAAATCATTGATTGTAAATATCTTTAATTTCTTCCTAGAAAATATTATAAAAATTAGATATTAATAATTTATTCATCGAAACGAATAAAACTAAATCTCATATCACTATGTTTTTCTTTATATATAGAGAGAAATTTAGAAGTTTCCCCTAATTTTTTTAATAGTTAAAAGATTCTAGACGAGACTAGCATTTTGAAACAGAACGAGTATATAAAAAAAAGAATTTGCAAAGGACTTATTTTAACAAATAAATAATATGATTTGTTAGTTATTTTTTATTAAAAAATTAAATTGTCACCTAAGAAAAATTAAAGAATAAGGTTTGGGATTTTAAATTCAAGCACCACGTAAAATAAATAAACCTACGAAAGATAACTTTAGTGTTAAAATTTTTAAAAATAATTATCTTATGATATTGGGAATTTTATCCAAATATCTAATATATGATCTTCATATAAAAAAAAAATCTTAAATTAATAAAAAGACTTACTAGAACCGTGAATCGCACGGGCTTATATCTAGTATGATATATTTGTTTTTTTGTTTTTTTGTTTTTTTTTTGACGGGGATAGTATGATATATTTGTGACAATATTTTATGGCTTGAATATTGGTTATTACTAGAGTGTACCCGTGCAAAATGCACGGGATTTATATTTTATTGAAAGACATTACAAAAATCCAATAACAAAAATATATTTTAAATAGGAAATTTTGTCAAAAACTACCAATTAAAGTACGTGTTTTAAAAACAACTGCCTATTAATTTTTTTTTTTTAAAAGAACTACCACAAAGTTGTAAAAAGTTTAAGTAGCATTACCACTTTAATAATTCCAACTAGAATATTCGGCATGTAGGTTCTACTTTTTACTTTTACCTTATAAAGGTAAAAAGTGATAAAGGTATAAAGGTAAAAAGTGATAAAGGTAAATTATCCTTTATAAAGGTAAAAAGTGATAAAAAGTGAGAATTAAATACCGGAGATTTTAGCCAAAATTGTTAAAGTGGTAGTGCTAGTTAAATTTTTTATATTTTTGTGGTAGTTTTTTTTTTTAAAAAATTTAATAGGTAGTTGTTTTCAAAACACGTGCTTTAATTGGTAGTTATTGACAAAATTTCCTTTTAAATACGTGAAGTTGTTTATGCAACAGTAACTTACTTTTTTATGTGTCTGGATACTTCGTGTAGCTAGCTATTATAGAAGTTACTTTATCAGTGTTATAGGGGTTACTCTGTCAATGTTATAAGGGTTACTCGTTCAGTGTTATTGTTGTTATCTCGCCAATGTTATAAGGGTTATGTATTTTGTGTTATAAAGGGTTACTCCGTCAATATTATAGGAGTTACTCTAGTCTTTTTGTCGCCAAAAAAAAACATACTCCAGTCTGCTTGTCGCAAAAAAAAAAAAAAAAAAAAAAAAAAAAAAAAAACCGTGTTGTCACATAAAAAAGATTATGTATGTATCTTTTGTTTCGATGATTATTGAATTAATAATAAGGTAGTTAACTGATTTTAAAAAATAAAAATAAACAATTGGAAGAATTTTTATAGAGGAAAAAAGTGGAACTTATTGTAATATTAGTGTTTTTAAAAAGAAATTGGGTAATATAATAAAATACTACGATGGTAGTTTTTTTTTTTAGGTAGTGTGTTATTTAGGAAAAATAACAATGGAAGTTTTTTTTAGGAGGGTTTTTTATTTATTTTTTAAAAATTGACAGGTGAAAGTTATTTGTAGGGCAAAAAAAAAAAAAAAAAAATATTGCACCAAATTGTATGATTGGAGTTTTGGAGTGATGTGGTTAAGTGTTGCAAAAATGACTCTACAATTAAATACTTCGTATTAGATTTGTGACTATATAATATCTTTTGGTTGGTTTCTTAATTCTATCTTACGTTAAACTTGTACTCGTATTATATCCATCAATGAAAAATTAAAAACCAAGCATTTGTGTGTTCATTGAATTTTAGCAATAGATCAGACTATCAGAGTATTGGACCAAGCAAGAGTTTGACAATGGAAGACGAAAAAGATCAATTGAGCTCACTTCCAGACGCCATCCTCATCGAAATTCTCTCACTCCTTCCGATGAAATCCGCCGCCACCACCTCCGTATTATCCCACCGTTGGCGCCACCTCTGGACCGGAGTCACCCGCGTTGTTATTGATGCTCGATTAGAATCCACCGCCATAATTGACCACAGTCTACATAAGCTTACATCTCGGAAACTCCACATGTTTGTTCTCAATTTGAACAATTTCTCCGATAATCCCAACCCCAGAGCATCAGTGTCTTGGTTTCGAGAAGTTCACAGCCGAAATGTGGAGAATATCACATTCACTGTACCGCGAGGTGGTAAATGTTTCTACTTTATACCCTCGTTTCTGTTCAATTCTCAATCTCTGGTAACTTTGAATTTACATGGTTTGTTTCGGTGGCCCAAATTTGAGGATTTGCGTTTTCATCTTCCTAATTTGAAAAAACTTGTCATAGATTACCTTGATGATATCCCTCTTTGGTTAGAGATTCTAATTAAGTTTTCCTCACTTTTGGAATATTTGGATTTAGTCTTCCATCTAGATTCATATTCGGATTTGTCTACTTCTGTTGTGAAAATAATCCCTCCCAATTTGAAGTCATTGTCTATAAGTATGGAGTTTTATACACCAAGTTTGATGCTGCGCACTAGAGTATCAATTGATGCACCCAAATTGGCAAACCTTCGAATTGATGATTGCATTTCAATCTATTGCTTTCTCCAGAATCCCACTAAATTAGTCAAAACTTGTATTGACTTGAAGAATAATGGAGATTGGTCGTATTGTGAAGAGGACGAGGACGAGGACGAGGACATGGTGGATGAGGAGAATCTTGGCTTGTTACAAAAAGAATATACTCACCAGATGACCAAGTTTGTTGGAGGATTGTCTAGTGTTAGCAATTTGAAGCTGAAGCAAGAGTTTCATACCAATATCTTCAGACATTGTAGTTCTGCAAATCTGCCAATCTTTTCCAATCTATCCCGCCTTGAAACAGAGTGCCCTATGGATTTGCTGTTTTCTTTACATTGTTTTCCCAACTTAGAGCATCTTGTCGTGTGTCTATGGCCACAAACTTTACCAACACTTGATTTTTCAATGGAGCAAAGCGATTGGTTGCAACCGGATTCTATTCCAGATTGTTTAGCAAGTAAGCTCAAGACTATACAATTAAGTGGAATACAAGGGACCGGCGATTCCCTGAGGGTACTAGCGTATATTCTGAGTCACGCAAATGTTTTGGAAAAGCTTTGCATAGATTTTAGAAGGCCTAATTTCATATATGAACATAAAGAAGCATATGTAGTGTGGAAGGAATGTCAGTTCTGTAGGTCACTGTTTAAACTTCCAAGGAGGTCCTCAACTTGTGAGGTTGTGGTTTCTGGCTGTTATGTCACAGCATCAGGTAATACCTTACAAGACGGATACCTTACCTGTCGAATGTATGTGGGCAAATAGACCTAATATGCGCAACTTGTTTTCCAAATGCAAGCATTCAAGCTTAAGAGTTGCAGGTACTTATTACTAAGTTCCTATTAGTTGTTGTTTTATGCATTGCATATAGTTTGGTTTAGGCTTAACAATGTTTCTAGAAATGATGGATATGTAATTATGTATGTATTTTAGCCTTGCAATGTACTGTTTTTTGCCTCTTTTTGCTATTAAGTTTATATGTTTTTAAGTTCTTTTACTTCTCTTTATGGTTATGGCAATCTTTCATAGTTTCATTTATTGAAGCTGTCTGTAGTATGAACTCTGGAGGTTGTCTTAAGAAAATAATCCAAAAGCTCACTAGTAATTAATCGGTAGAGATTATTAAAAAAGCCTTGCATATTGCATCGTGTCTTTTGCTTACGAAAATTATTGATATACATATTTTCTTAAAATGAAGCTGACAGAGTTTGTGTTCCTATTCAATCTTAACGTTGCTCTTTGTTATATGTTTTGGTCTGAACTATGAGGTGTTTTTTAATAAAAAAAAAAATGGAAAAAAAGAGCATGTTGAGTGCAAACTCTTTTCGAGAAAGCACATGATGGTTTTGTGTTTTTTGATTCTAGAATTTTTTTTATATCTTCTGCTTTGGGACATTTGTTGAAATAATTAGACTTGCTATGATTCTATGAAAGACTTAAGGGGAAGAAGAAAAAGGGAAGATGGGAAAGAGTGAGTTGACCGATAAAACAAAGCAAATTAGAAAAAGGGAAGCAGGGAAAGAGTGAATTTTCTTTATAGCTACAGCTAGTTGCTCTTTGTGCTTAGCTTAACTCAGGTTCAGCAGTTACCTTGACTGCTGGCAACTAAATGCTTCCTTTTTTCCCCCTTTTTTGGGAAGCATGTTTACATTCGGTACAAATTAGAATAACTGCAATTGTTAACGTGGAAAGATCCCTTTTCCTACAATGTACTAATTCTTTTGAGCATGAGAATTAAGAGTAGGAATGATGTTGAATGTAAATCTTGATTGTTCAATATGAGATATTTTAGTTGAATAAATTATTACTCGTACTCTAATAAATAGAACAGAAGTAGTAATAATGAAGAACTTTGAATATTTAGTGAATATGATCCTTGTACGGTTATAATTTTATTATAATAATTTAAGAAATTGCTTGATTTTCAACTTTGTATATGTTTGTACTCTGTATTTAATTAGAAAGTGTGTGTAATTTTTTTGTATGTTTGTACATAATTGCTGCTTTGGAATATTGATGTTGAGGGGATTTTGTATGTGTGATCAATAACGGGTAATAATTAAGCAATCAAGATTAATCACTAGCTATCATTGTATTATTATTTGTTTGATTCTCTTTTGAAATGTTGACCTATGAATCATTTTTTGCACATGTAGTTAGCACATCCAGTTCAAAAAATATACAAAGTATACAATTAGTAAACCGAGCACCTCTTGATATCAATCCCATTGTTCCATTAACGTACGTATTTAACGATGGACAAACAGGTCTTCAGGTAAGTGGTTAGCTGGTTACTAATTTAAACAACTCAAGGTCTCTGTTTTCGAATCTAGAACTGCTTATTAAAGTGAAGAAGTATTAAAATAAATAGTATGGTGTAGTATTTATTTTAATATTTCATCTTTTTTTTTTCCTGTCTTATTTTTTTCCTGTCTTATTTTCCCTGTAACTGAAAAATATTGGGGGAGTAGATGAACTCCTTGTAGCATCAAAGAACTTAGGAAACCATGTAGACCCATGTCTAACCGATGATGGGAGGGAGGCCTTTTATCATTTTCTTTCTTACTACTATAAGTAGGTGGGATAGCTTCTCCTTGCCTTTCAGAGAACAGCTAGGAATTAAAAAGAGGTAGGTTCCTTTTTATTACATTGTATTACTCTAGAGTTTATGGAAGAATGTGGAAGCTTTCAAGTGTAAGAATTAAGGTGTTGTTTGGTTGATGTGGAAATTTAATTCCCATAGGAATTTATACTTCATGGGAAGTTAATTCCTTAATAAATTTCTCAAATGTGTTTGGTTGGCAGTAAGGGAAATTGAAATTCCCATGAAATTTGGTTTACCTAGGGGGGGCTAGGTAATTTACTTCCCATGTTTTGTGGGAAGTTGAAATTCCAATGAATTTCCACTTCCCCCATTTTTGCTTTTTTATGTCAACCAAATAACTACTCATTTTCACAATTCTCATGAATTTCCAATTCCCCCACTTTAAAATGTCAACCAAACAAGGTCTAAGATTATCTTTGTTGGTAGGGAATATAAAGAGTTCAATCATGTAGAATTATCAATTTTATGTTATAATGTCTTTTAATACAAACTAAAATGACTGAATCTTATGCTAAAGATGTTCTTCCTCCATCAGTCCATCCTTTTATGTTTGCCCCATTCCCTGTTTTCTGTAAAGTTGTATTGGGCAAGTAGATATTTTATTCCTTCACTATGTGAGGTAAGAAATGTAATAGAGAGGAATGTTAGGGTCCTTGTTAATAATAATGAAGTGGGGCAATCTTTTGGTGACAAACTAGAAAAGAAAATAGGGTAATCTTTGGGGGACACAGAGAGTATAGCTTAGACTCAAGGAAGGCTTATTGAGTTTAGTAGAGTTGTTCAATCATAAACGATGGTAAAGCATCACTTGCATAAAGAATGGCTATTGTCAGTCTTTTTTATTTTTGTTTGATACACACTTATACATTTGAATTTTAGTTACCTAATGCACTTTATTGCTAGAGTATTATTGGAGAAATATGCATGATGTTATTTGAAATTTGAAGGTATATCATACATGTTTTACCGTTTTACCATACTGTTATTTTAATATCTCATCACTTACAGGCTACGTAAATAGCTCACTAGTTCTAAATCAGCAAAAAGAGAGACCTTAAGTTGCTCGGTTTAGTGACCTCTGGAACTGTAAATCTGTAATGTCAATCAGTTTTAGCTCATATGCCTTTGGAACTGAGGTGGATTTAGTGGAGTTGGCAGTTGGTGGTGAAGTAACAGACTGATTTGAGTCAGTTAGTTGTGAAGGTCCTGTGTGACTCGTTAACTAGAATATCCTAGATTTGTATTATCCAGTTGACTAGTCAACTTGATTTGAAGCTCCTGGTTCACTTGAATGATTGAATTTTCTTAAGAATTTCAAGTATTGGTTGATTAAAAACTTCTTAAGAATGAGCATCTTATATCTTGACTACAATAGATCCTCCCTTAGAAAGTTAGAATCAGGAAGGTGGATGTTTAAGCTTGAGAAGAACCTATGCAGGTGCTACCATTCCTACCAGCATCAGTTTAGTCTTTGCTAAAGCTTTCAACTTTGGATCTAGAACATGCTTGCATCAGTATGGTACAGTGCCTATTTTCATCTAGAAGTTGAAAGATTTCGAAACTTGTACCTTTGTGAAAATTAGCTTCCTTGGGTGTCTATATATTTTATCAAAATTCAAAAGTTGTTTAGTGGGTTCGTGGATGATCAAACTTCCATAAAAATTGGATTAGAGAAATTTAGCGTTGATGTACAAATGGGGAATAAAATAGAATTAGGTGGATAGTGAAATTGCAATTGATAGGTTTTTGAGAAGCTGAATTTCTTCCTTAAATTTTTATGTAAAACTCTGATTTCTGATCTGATTTTTTCGCTTTTAATTGGTTATTACTTCCCTAGCATAATCATTTATGAACATTGAAATATTATTGAACATACAAGTATACAACTACCATCATCAAATAAACCAAAGAAATCTATGTTCTTCAATTGGGATTAGAGTAAGATTGAAATATTATTTTGGAGTTTAGAGCTTAGTGGACTTTGCCACGAAAAAAAAATTAATAATTTTTTTTAAAAAAGCAACAAATATTTCTTGCCAAAATGCCCCCCTAAACCTATAAAGAACATATTTTGGGCACGAAAATCGAAGAATTTTTTAATACCGTTAGATTTAACGGTTTTCTGAACGGTAGGTGGTGAAAAATAATTTTTAGAACTTTATTTGGTGGTAAGATACAACTTTTAAAATAGTAGGTGGTAAAAAACAATTTGTCCAAACATGTTTTTTTGGCTGTTTGACCAAATTGAAGAAGCCAAAAGCCAGCTAAAAAGCTGGTTTCCAAACACCCCCTATATTAGGCAATGGTTTTGCACCGTTACCTTTGCTTTATTTTGTTGTAGAGTCTATAACCCTTGCTCTTATAGGAACTCCTTCGATCTGTTGCAAAAGCATGAGACTCACTTGAGGTCTGCATATCACCAATCACTGCATGGGACTAACTTGAGGTCTGCATATCACCAATCACTGATTTATGCCTCTCTTCTTGTACCAAAAGTCTAAAAGCATGTGTGACTGCTACCATACCAAAGGCTGCATCATCAAAATATTTCCCCTAACCATACCAAAATTCTCATTTTAACTTCATCAAGAATTGAACAATCTTATATGAATTGGAGGGAAAAGGTGAAATAAAAAGAGGTAGGGTGATTTTTTTTAAGTCACATGACAGTCACGTGACTGGTCAACGCCGGTATAAAAAAGTTAAACACCGGAATCCGGCGTCAAGGTCCCTCTAGACAACATAACATACTTATAAGGTCCTATTAGACCACTTTGAACATATAGGTCCTTCTAGACAAAAGAGTGAAGATATAAGTTCCTTCCAGACAAATTTTCCTTTTTTCACTACTATATAATTTAGGTCACTGGCTCACGATCTTGCAAGAAGATGTACCTAAATTCCTCATTGTATCTTACTTCTTAAAAAAAAAAAAAAAAAAAAACTCACACATAACGACAAAAAGGAAAAAAAAAAACAAAAAGGAAATTTTGTGGCAAGGGCAAAAACGGAAATAAACTGTTGTTAAGTAGAAGTTTGCATATTTTAGTAAGGGTTTTAGATTTACATGTTCCATCATTCACATGCGTTTTTTTTACTTTTTTAAAGTAAAATTGTAACACCCCCAAATCTCCCTCTACGGAAATACCAGTATAATACGTATAATTATACCGTAGAGATAGACTTGGGCGTGTTACCGCCGCGTGATTACGCAAGGCTACTCAAAATACTTAACTCAATAACAAAACTTTGCAGCGGAAACTCAACTTTATCTTATTAATACTTATAAAAATAGTAACAGTGTTATGAGTACTCAAAATAAAGAAAAGACCAACATTCCTAAACTAGGTGAAGCAAATCCTGAGACTCTCATATGCTCATTCATGACTCCACCTGAAAATAGTCAACACTGCTTACCATTACGGTAAACAGGGCGAACCAAAACAAATAGGAAATACGGATTAGCAAAATATGCTAAGTACGATAAGTGCAAGATAATGTAAACTCAATTTATTCGCAAACATGTTTTAAAACCAATTTCCAATAAATAATCCAATAATTCCAAAACTCATGATTCAAAACCAATTCCAATGATTCAACATTCAAAATAATTGATAAACCAATTCCTTTAAAAATCCAATTCCTTTTTGAACCAATTTCTTTAAATCCAATTCCTCACCCAAGTGTGCACACCCCCAAGCTAGTCACCTTATATTACAAGGCTATTCTTGAGGAAACACTAGGTCATACAAAGTCCATAGTCTTATCAATAAACCAAATTCGCATAGTGGGATTACCAACATGCTTATAAAGCATTAATAATGATATTTCAATGGTTCAATAATAAATCCTTTTAATATCCAATAATTCCAATATAATTTAAACTCCTTCCACATACTTTCAAAATCAAAACCTTTTAAATAAATACTTGAGAATAAAATCTCATATTAATAACTCTCCAAAATCAATAACTCTTCATTGAAAAAACCTTTTATTTAATTCAACAAACCTTTTAAAAAATCAAATCATTTATTTAAACACGATAAGTAATTCAAACCATTCAAAACATGATTCAAAAATCAATCATTCAAAATACTTTTATTAAAATCAATACCTTCAAACATAATTTATTTCAAAATCATAATTTAAATCAATCACCAATCAAATCATATAAAACATGTTATTCAAACCAATCACTTTCGAAGGTATCTAGCCACCTAACGTACCTTGATCCTTGCTTAGCAAAACATACCAAAAGAACCTCAAGAATATTGATCGAACACACCCTACAAATAAATATAACCTTAATCAATATAAGGTTAACAAATAATCCCAATAATTAAATTAAAACCCCCAACTATATGTACATGAACCTTTTAATTAATTTCTCATAAACATCATTAAAATATGATTTTATATAATTAAAACTACTCATAATAATTTTATATTAATCTCCCATAATAATAATAATAATTGAATAAGAGAAGAGAAGAAGAAAAGATAAGAAAACAAGAAAGAGAGAAGTATTGGATTTGCGTTGGAAAGAATAGGCAGAACTTGCAGAGGCTATAACTCCTTCGATATAACTCCGAATTGGGTGATTTTTGAGCCTAACCTCAAGGATCTTTTGAGAGGAACAATCTTCTGTGAAACGTCAATACCCCAAAAACTGACCAGAAGTGCCCGAAAATTGGCTTCAAAGATAAACGGGATGATTTGTATAAAAAGAAAAGAAGAGAATTGGTGTGAAGAATGTGAGAGGTATGAAGGGGTATTTATAGGCTAGTATGAGCATGAATTATGGTAGGAAAATGTAGGAAGAATTATGGTAATTAGGGTTTAAGAGATTACTTGGAGAAGTGAGTAAAAAATTAAGGAAAGTTTGGATATTAAGGTGATTGTGTATACTTGAATATGGAATGTATGTATGTCATGAAAAATAATAAGGAAATTAGAATTACTTGGGGAATAATCAAGAGGAACAAAAGGCAAGAGAATATGATGATTGGATACTAAAAAGATGGAGAATTAGAATTAAGGAAATTAGGAGATTCCCTTACTAGAATTTAGGAAGATTTTGCTCGGTTTAAGGAATAAAAATAATCGTGTAAATAATATAGAATAATTAAATAAATAAATAATTAATTAAATACCAATTATTCACCAATAATTAACTAAGAAAATCAGATTTTCTATACATAGAAAATCCGAATTTCCTAGCTAAATAAATGGGAATTTTCAGCCATTTAATATAATAAATAAAATATAATTTTGCTTTAATTAATATATCTGAAATATGTAAATAATCCGGTTTTTAAGATAGGATAAATGGATAATAAATCTTATCCAAAATAATGACTAGTTTTCAAAATGCTTTTGGCGCCAAAATTCAAATATTATTTTGGCTCCAAATAATAAATTTACTAAAATACCCTTTTTATAAAATACTTCTTAACTAATTAATTAGAAAATACGTATGAAAATATGGGGTATTACAAAAATCAACCATCATAACTAATACAGTAAGTTTGGATGCTATCTCAATTATTTGGATCCTGAAGGAGATTCGCCAACTCATCCCAACTTTAAGCAAGTTTGCCATTCAGAAGGTGCCTAGACAGGATGTAGATTATGCCCATTTTCTGGCAGGTTTAGCTAGTCGTAGGCTTTTGCTTTGATTTCGTTTTTAGTTCGCTTTGTTAGTTCCTCTTGTCAAAAAAAAAAAAAAAAAAAAAAAAAAAAAAAACTAATACAGTAAAAAGGAATGGAGGGAATTAGTAGCAAAGACATACGGAGTACTTAACAAATGTAGCAAAGTTTACATTATAGTCAGGAAGTTGTTGGTTTCGAAAGCTATTAAGTACACATTAAGAAGAGGATGTTCAATGGATGATGCATGAGTAAACAAAACAGTACAAGTAGTAGTGTGGTTGACTGGTTGCTGACAGCTCACAATGGTGTCCACAATTCAAAAGGGTGTTCCAAGTGTACACAATATCTTGACTTGTACCGCTTGTCAAAAGGGACTTGTAATTTTACAATATATCTAAAGTGAGTGTTACAAGCAAAGTTGGAAGGTTGTGCAGCGATTAGAAGCCCTGCTAGATGGTGATTGCTTGAATAATACTGGTGGTAGCCAAACTGTATTATGAAGGCAATAACACTGGCTGACATAAAGCTTTGGGAACAGGAACAGAGACAACATAGAATAACCGGAAGAGCTTAGCACCTAGCAAAGAAAGGTACGAAGATACTCAATGATCAATATACTCAAGTAATGAAATAAGATGAACTATAGATAAGGTGATTTAGTAAGCAATTTTAGTATACCATGACAATTCAAAGGATTTTTCACTGGGTACTTTAGAGGTTCCTTGGCTTCAATCACCCAATCATCCAAGTAATTAGTCAAGTCGTTCAGGGTCATCGCGTTAAATACAGTATCACTCTCCCAACCTTTGACAGTAATCAGCTTTATATCCTTCAAAGAGTGACGCCAACAGTCAAGATTTTGAGAGCAGTAACAATTCGGTTCTTCAGCCACCAAACATTTCAGTAGCCCCTGCAACATTATTTAAAATTTCAATTCATACTCTGTATTAATAGAATTTTTTTGTCAAAGCATTCATGCACTTCGCAACCATACACAAATACACAATTGAGAAATTGCACAAAGTGATAACTTGAAATTTGTCACTGCAATGCAAACCAATAGAAAGTAAGCAATTAAAAAAAAAAGGCATACCTTCAAATTTTGAGGAGAAAGACAATAAAGCTTGAAAAATGACAGAATCCTAGGACGCAAATTCCAGAATAAGCCATCTAAAAGAGATATATAGTTTATCGTTGATGTTGTCTCAAACAGAAACATAACCAACTTCATATTGTTGAGTTCAAAGAGAGGAAACTGCTTCCCAGTATAGTCCTCAGCATTGAAGGAGATATCCTCACCCTGACAAATTAAGAAGAATATTATCACAAAATAACCAAAGGAATAATTATTGTAATGGAATCAAAATAGCAATTACAAAGTTGAAAGACAGACATACGATAGAATATATCTCAAAAGTCAGATCTTGAATTTTGAAATATCTGAGAATGTCATACAACCTCATGAACCATAAGCTGTCCATATGTTGAAAAAGGGCGGAGAATTCTGCTGTCCGATAATCAGCAACACTGTTTAGGTAAAAGCGAGGTATGGTCTCCCCACCATATTTAAAAGATTGTAATTTAGGTGTATCAAACTCTGCTTCCACTAGTTTCATACAATCTTTAAAACATATCTCCTTGAGAGATTGACTAGAGAGTTTAATAACTTCTTGCAACATGCATCCACCCAAATACAGATGCTCGAGCAGAGGAAAGGATGTAATTAATCTTTGTAGCCACTTTGCATCAATGGGAGTAACCCACAAAGACAAACGTGTCAAATTTTGGCAAACAGAACTAACAATGATTTCACATACCATTGTTTCTTTACTACCACTACAAAAATCAAGTGTAAGTTCTTTTAATGTTTGCACCTCTATTCTAAACCTGTTGGCTTTGAAATTTCTATAAACCATCTTCTCCAGTTTATCATGACCGCATATGTCAAGATTCTCAAAACCCAAACAATAACACAAAGAGAACACTTTCAGTGATTTAATAGAGCGTATAAGATCTTGAATTGTATTCTCATCTATAGACACTCCTAAGATGCAGCTCAACTAAAGAGCATAGCTTAACAGCTTTACTATCAGGAGGGCTACGTAACATGATAGAACCAAATAGATGTAAAACGGTTAATGACTCCATTGTGAATAAAATCTTAGATAGGTCATGAACTCTTCCTTTTCCCGTAAAAATATACAGATTTAACTCCTGCATACGCCTTTTAGCAACCAATTCCATCCACCTATCAACACGAGGGGCCAAAACTTTACTCACAAGGATAATATGGAGATTAAACTTGTTCACACAAAGTTTCTCCTCATGAAATCGAAGCAGTTTCTTATCAATATAGCTCATGAAATTCAGTCTTTGATTAAAAATCTTGCGTCTCTCATCTTTAGGAAGCTCTTGCTCCTTCGGGTTAATTAAATTTAAATGTTTTCCGAAATGCCCTTGAAAACATTCAAGGATGGGGAATGTTTCCCAAACATATTTCCATCTCTTGGATATAACACCCGTTTGAACAGCTTGTTTTGTTGAAAGATAAGACAATATATGGTGAAGAATGAAGTCAGGTAGTTCGGACATTTGATCGATACAACTTGTTTCCTTATCATCCATATTCAAGCAGCGAAATAAATCTCTTAAATTTTAAGTTAAGTGATTCAGACCCCAATAATACCTAGCATAAAAAGAGAAGCAATCAAATCCCAATAATTCAGATCAATAATTCTGTAATCCAAACCAAAATAAATTGGAGACAAGCAAATTCCAGATAAATTAGCAAATTCAAATTATAGAAACACACGCAAATCTACTCCTTAATATCAATACGAGTACCATTTATGTAATTAACGAAGAAGAACACGTATTAGTTTAGCTTGAACTGAAATTGTTATGAAATCAACCAATTAATAATTAGCAATTAACAATATTAGTTTAGCTTGAACTGAAATTGTTATGAAATTTGGGCATGAAATCAACCAATTAGCAATTAATTTACAATATTGTTCATATAAATTATTACAATAATCGAACATGCATAATAAAAAAGCAAAAAAAATCAGAAAATAAAAAAAAAATAAAAAAAATTACGAAATTAAAAGAAAGCTTGAAAAACTTACCAGAAGCAAAATAAATGCAATTAGTCACTGTTACGAAGAGTTGAGTGTAGAAATGTTGGTGGTTGGGAGCGGAGTGTAAGAATTTTTAATAGTCCATACCATGTTCAATTTTTGAGTAGCTTCTGGAGAGCTTTGCTTTAGCTTCTTTGAGAAATTATGGGTATAGAGTAACTAGCTTTTTTTTTTTTTTTTTTTTTTTTTTAACTACATACGATTTACTTGTATCCCTCCGTTTTTAAATACTTGATCCATTTCTTCATGCGTGGAGTTTTAGGAGAAATTGGATAAAGTAATAAAATATGGAGGTAGTGGGGTAGTTGAGAATAAAAAATTAGAAAAAACAAAAGTAGTGGAAGAATGGGAGGAGAGAGAGAATTATGTTGGGTCCACTAAGTGTGAGAAATGAATTAAATATTGTAAAAGCTTTCCTAAAGAAGAAATGGAGCAAGTATTTAAAAACGGCCGGAAAAGAAAGTGCAACAAGTATTTAAAAACGGAGGGAGTATATGAGTAGTAAGAAAAACTGCCCATGGTTTGTTTAATTTTTTTAAAACAATTTTTTTTGGGTATTATGTCATAAAATTTGTTACGTAGTACGAAGTATTATATACCAGAATGACTTGCGTGGACCTGGTCAGCAGTAATATTATTGTGGACCCGAGATTTATACACACGCAACTGACATTATATTGAACATAGTGACCCTTATTTTTAACATAGTAACCTTATTTTTAACATAGTAACTGTTTCGGGGTTTTCTGATGTCCTGCGGGAGAGTTACAATTCCGAGACTGGAACCGGACGCCTGTACCTGCAAAACGAACGGATGCTCCGGATGATTGGAGATCCGCCTCCGACGGTCAAGTTAGTACTTGATTAAGGAGTAATTAATGCGGAAATAAAAGTGATTGGGTCTCTCCAGGTGAGAGTGTTAAATGTGCGTAATCCCCCTTAATGAGGATTAATGGAGGTATTTATAACCTTGGGAAACGTGTCAATCCTAGGTTTAGGTTAACCTAGGGCTGATTGGGCTTCCCTTGGAAGTTGGGCCTAGGTGGCCGGTTTCTCCATTAGGCATGGAGGATGCCACGTGTCATGACATAATAGGTCCAGGGTGGACAAATAGGCGTGTGCCACGTGGCAAACTCTGACAGTTCCAACTGGGGGACACTTGGCAGGACCTGATTGGCCCACGTGGCGCATTCCAATTGGTGGGAGAAAAATCCCCTAATCATTTGCCCCTCACAGGTGGCACGTGACTGGTCACGTGTTACGTGTGACAGGTGTCGCACTGTGACAGGCGACGGCCTGCTACAGGTGTCACTCGGCGAAAGGCCGAGAGATTCTCCCGCCCAATTTTTGAATTTTGGAAGTGACCCTTCGACTTCTCACTTCGCCTATATAAGGGGGTGTTGACTTCAGTCATTTTCACATTTTTTAGAGAGAACATTCAGACCCCTGAACTTGCTCTGACATTTCGGACCCTTTCTGCCTACCGCCTACTTTGACAAGCCGACTACACAAGATTTCCAGAACTCCGTCAACTTCACTCGTTCAGGTAACCGTCGGTTCTCTTACTCTTAATTTTTTCTTTATTTTATTCTTTTTTTGAAATGGCACCACGGAAGCACACGACACGACCTAGGTTAGTGATCAGCCGGTCACCGGGGACGGCTGAATCTAGGACTAGGAGTGCCACCTGCCCTTTATACAAAGTCCGACTGTCTCTGTGTCTATGCAGAACATGATGGCCAGAACAAAAAGAACTGCTAGGATTTCGAACTCAGACGGCTCCTCCCACAGGGTGCCTATTAGTGAAAAATCTGACCAGGCGCCAGATGTGGAAGTGAACCAAAGGGGCTTGAAAGCCGACAGTTCTGAGGGAGGAGTCAAAGTGACCCCTTCCAATTTTACAGTTGACAAGTCTACATTCTCTCCTGCTCCTTTTGAAGGAGAGGAGGCAGGCCCCTCTGGGAGAGGGGAGGAGTCGTCCTCTTCGGACTCGTCAGAGGACGAATCCGAGTCTAGCTCTTCTGGTCATGCTTCTCTGGACACAGAAGAGAAAAACAGCCGCCTACAAGAGGCGAGGCTTTCTCACGCAGTTGAGAAGGGGGACAATTGGGCGGAGCCATCCGCCTCTTACCGGGAGCAAAATACCCCCTACTACTGCACTGTCCCACGGGGCCGGATCACGGCCATGCAAGAGAAAGTGGGGAGCTTTCTTGCGAACCACACAATGGGCCCCGGCTTTTTAGTTTTCGTGCCGGATCCAGAAGACACAGTCGTCTGGCCGGCTGGTACTAGTTATGATGGCGCCTGCTTTGGCTGCTACGAGGCGGCCATCAGGGCTGGGCTGCGCTTCCCATTACATCCGGCTGTTCAGCGGATCTTGGATGGGTATGAGTTGGGGTTATGGCAGTTAGCCCCAAACTCCTGGGTCAACGTACTCGGCTATGTGGCCGGGTGCGAACTGCATGGGGTGGAGCCAAACTTCGAGGCTTTCTCCCACATGAACTACCTCAGCCGGACCCCTAAGGCAGGCGGTACCGGCTGGTATCAATTGACGAGCCACAGAGGCTACCTCATGACAAGAGGTAAAGCAAACAAGTGGAAGGATTGGCGAAACACCTTCCTTATCATTGAAAGTTCAGACACTGAGCTGAACAAGCGCTTCAACAAGTGGAACAGGAATCCGCCTCTTCTTGCAGGCGGCCGCAGCATGCCGCATGTTCCCCCTAAAGCCAAGAAAGAGATCCTGGATAAAGGACTCTTTAAAGTAGAGTCGAGGGTCGACTCTACTACAGGGGTACGAGAGCAAGTACCCCTGTACTGCGTCCCGAGCTTCAAATGGCTCTATGACGAGTACTTTCTGGCCGCCTGTGGCCTTAGCAGTCGGTGTTCAAGAGGTAGCCGGCCTGTCGAATACCCTGTTTTTCCATGCATTACTGTTATGACTTTTTATTAACTTTGCTATTTGTTTTTGCAGCGGACGCCATGAGCAAAATTATCGCCTCCAAGACTGCGGCGGCCATGTTGCGAGCCTCCATCATGCAACAGTCCTCAACCGACTCCCCCAACAAGGGGGCGCCCTTGGTGAGCTTCGAACCTTTCACTCTGTTTTTGGAGTTGGGTTTATGCATATACTGACCGAGTGTTTTTTTTTTTTTTTTTTTTTTTTTTTTTTTTTTTTTTTTTTTTTTTAGGCGGGCACTCCAAGAGCATCTTCTTCCCAACAGCCGGACTCCAAGACCCGGAGGACGACTGTTGCGAGCTCTCCTGGTTCTGCCAGGAAACATGCGGCGGCTGAGAAACAGCCGTCCACTCCTTCTAAAACTCCAATCAGGCCACCTAGAAGTATGAAGTTGTCCTTGTGAATTTAGACTTGCTCCCTTCTAACTAGGTCTAACTCGTTTGTTTATGATTGATGCAGCCGGCCCTCAGGAGCCGGACTTGGTCGAGGTGGCCAAGTCTATGATCAAAGCCGTCCCTCCAGCTGAAAGGGAGGCGGTCAGGGGTGTCGGCACCCTTGACCTAGACGGGATTGCAGGGGTCCTTGCTGAGGTATACTTAGCATATTTTTGGTTATTTAAATTCCAGAACGCCTGTTTTTTTGTTTGGAAACTGACGTCTGTTCCCTTTTACTTAGGCCCTGCTCCGAGTGAACGGCCTTCGCAAGCCGCTTGACAGGAAGAACAAAGAGGTAAAGGCTGCAAAAGCTATGGCCGCCTCTGACTGTGATAAGGCAATGTTTCAAATTGCCCAAAATGAGATTTTGACAATTGATATTCTTTATTATCAGGCGCAGGCTACTTCTGCCATCCGGGCTCAGTTAGAGGCGGCCCAGAAGAAAAATAATGAGCTGGAGGCGACCATCAACAATCTCAAGGCCGAGCTGAGACCTCTTCGCCAAAAAATGTCCTCATACGACACCTTGGAGAAATCCTTGGCGCATGTAAGGAACGCCTGGTGACCCAGGAGAAGAGTCTTACTCAGGAGCTCTCGGCAAAGGTCGAGCAAGAAAAGAAAGAGCTGGTCCGGGAGATGATGGAAGACTCTGCTCAAATCCAGCGCCTGACCTGGGGCCGCCTCTTCCCCAATGCCGACTTTTCCTCGGAAAAAACGTACCGCCAGTGTTCTGATAGATATAATCAAGAGATCCTGGTGGCTGCTGAGGACGAGGCGTTGGAGGAGGAGGAGCCGGTAGTGGCGCTTGTGCCGCTTGTGCCGCTTGGGGGTGATGCATCGAAGAAGGATGCAGCTAAAGTCGAGTCCAGCAAAAAGAGTGCTGACCAGGCGGCAACTGCTATTATTGAAGATCTGCCCCCTTCTTAAGCTTTATGTCTTCTTTTCACGGCCTGCGTGCCGTTTGTTTCTATTTACCCGGCCAGGGGGCCGGGGTTCTGAATATTTTGCCGGTCTTCATGACCGGCTTCCTTTTGTATCTTTTACCCGGCCAAGGGGCCGGGGGTATGAATGTTTATGCCAGTCCTTCGAATTTGTTTCGTTTTGAATTTGTTAAAATTTGTTAAGTATCGAAACTCTGGTATCCAATTGCATACTTATACCGACTGTTTTGCATGGCCGATAGTTGCGGACAGGTACAAGGTAGTTAATCACACCACCTATGCCCCTGGACGACTGGTTGTCTGTTTCCAGGCTAAGCGATCAGTCGGCCACTTTAAAGACTGGATCCCCTTTATCCAAGTAGGAAGGTGGTTTCCTACCTGCCTTGCTTTTTTTATTGTTTTTTTTAAGCTAGAGACTCTAGTCGGTCCAGGCCGACTATTTCCCGCCACATTTAACCTAGTGTGAACAGGCGTTGTATGAACACCTTTTTAGTCTCATACTAAATTTTTAAGGAGTGACCAAGTAAACATGATTGTTACCTAGTCGCCGGGTAACTGAGTAGTAGAGGTTTCAAGCGGTGAGTACCGGTTGCTCCCCTTTATTTGCCAATGTTTGTTGGCTATTAACTCATAAGATACCGACTGTTCTTATCCCAAGTAGTTTAGTCGATTGGTTGACAGGATGGTTACTGCGAACACTTGTTTGACCTGATTAGTCAGTTAAGTGAGGGATAGCCTTGTCCGGGAAACGGCTACGTGGTTGTCTTGGTTAGACAGTCGTATAGGTGACGTGTAATGATTTTATAGAACAATGTTCCACCCAATAGGGAGCTGCTCTCTGCGACGAA